CCAGCCCGCTCAGGACCCACAGCACCCACCCCGCTCAGGACCCACAGCACCCAGTGTCCACAGCGCCCAGCCCGCTCAGGACCCACAGCACCCACAGCGCCCACAGCGCCCAGCCCGCTCAGGACCCACAGCGCCCAGCCCGCTCAGGACCCACAGCGCCCAGTGTCCACAGCACCCACCCCGCTCAGGACCCACAGCACCCAGTGTCCACAGCGCCCAGCGCGCTCAGGACCCACAGCACCCACACAGCACCCACAGCGCCCAGCCCGCTCAGGACCCACAGCACCCACAGCGCCCAGCCCGCTCAGAACCCACAGCGCCCAGCCCGCTCAGAACCCCCAGCGCCCAGCCCGCTCAGAACCCACAGCACCCACAGCGCCCAGCCCGCTCAGGACCCACAGCGCCCAGCCCGCTCAGGACCCACAGCACCCACACAGCACCCACAGCGCCCAGCCCACTCAGGACCCACACTGAGCTGCAGCCTCACCTGGTCAGGATGGCCTCCTGGAGAAGCTGCATTCGGTCCCAGTAGGTCTCTGGTTCGAACCCTGCTGGCCAGACAGAGGAGGGTAATGGACAGAAGAACAAGATAGACGCACTCACACTTCCTGACACACTGACCGTCTGACACACAGCCCTGCGGACCCTCTGTCTGACACTGTGCTGCTGACACACTGCCTGTCTGACACACTGTCCAGCTGACCCACTGACTAACACACAGTCCAGTCCAGTTTGTGTGTGTGATTCCCAGTGTTGTGTGTATTGTACTGTGATGGGGTTGACTCTGATCTGTTGTGTTGTAGCTGTGCTGTCCCAGGACTGGTTGTGTGTTGTGTGTCTTGTGCTGCGATGTGTGATGTGCTTTGAGGACCAGGTGGTTGAGGGGGCTCGTCTCCGGACTCTGGTCATTGCTTTTTAGATGTAGCCAGTATTTTATTTGCTCTCTTCTGTATGTTAGGTAACGATGGATAGAGGCCTAATTCAGCTTGTGAAGGGTGATCTTACAGAACTCTGTGTGCAGGACTACTATGAGATTTTGTCCCGGTTACTGCAGTCCTGGTCAGTGACTGGACCTCACACTTCACAGGCTCCAACACTGAGAGTACAAAGACCTGCATGCTGGGTAAGTGAACCCGGTTCCCTGGGAGCTGACCGCCGGGCCAGAGAAAGGGCTCCAGTGTGCCAGTCCAGTCTGCCTGCTCACCCTCGAAGATGTGCTCGCTGCCCTCCCTCAGCAGGCACGCCGTGCTGAGGGGGATGAAGAGCTGGGCACGCAGGGGGTCTCCGTACAGATAGCTGGGCAGGGCAAAGGGCACCTCCAGCACAGGGACCAGCAGGAAACCACAGGATGCGGCCTTGCGGTGCCAACCTTGGACCTACGGGCAACACACACTGAGAGAGAGGGCAGAGGGGCAGAGAGAGGGCAGAGGGGCAGAGAGAGACACAGAGGGGCAGAGAGAGACAGAGAGGGGCAGAGAGAGACAGGAAGAAGAAGAGAGAGAGAGACAGAGGGGCAGAGAGAGAGAGAGGCAGAAGAGAAAGACAGGCAGAGAGAGAGAGACAGAGGGGCAGAAGAGAAAGACAGGCAGAGAGAGAGACAGAGGGGCAGAGAGAGGCAGAAGAGAAAGACAGGGGTAGAGAGGAGAAAGACAGGGGCAGACAGAGACAGGAAGAAGAAGAGAGAGAGGGAGAGACAGAGGGGCAGAGGGAGAGAGGCAGAAGAGAAAGACAGGGGCA